GTTAAAAAGATAAAAGTGAGATAACAGACATCAATTTTTCACTATAAATCTCTGGGTTTACTACAACATTAAAATTTCCAGTAAAAGCAGGGTTTTATATACCTGAACTCTAATGGCCTATTCTGAAAATATTTATGTCAGGAAAAGCATGGTATTTGCATGCCAAAAGCAATTTTAGTGCCAATGTTTAGCATTCCCTTCCCATTTAACTCCTTACCATCTACTCACGAGTATCAGATGCTCTGCCTAATGCCTACCGGGTACAGCTCCCCACACAGCCTTTCGGAGGAGGACGCTCCAGGTGCGTACTAAGGCAAAAAGTCGAACAGTTCTAATAAAATACAACTGCACAAGATGCTTCCCTGATGGCTTAAGATGGAGTCTCTAGCATGGTCTGAACCACTGATTTTACCTCCATGCCTTGCATGTGAAACTACTCATTTCCAAGGGGCTAACTGCCTAACCAACGTGAAAGACGGGGACAGAAGGACAGGAAATTGGGCAACGCAATGCAACAGCTCAGAAGTAACGGGTCAAAACCCTCCGTAATTAGATGAGGTTTCTGGACTTATGGGTAGTACTCCATTAGTTTTATTCTAAAATTAAAATTGGAGCATGGTTCTGTGAGAGCCAAGCGTCTTGCCTTCAACATACAGGTATTTTTATTTGGTGAGAAGGGAGGGCATTCAGCACCTACCTGGCCATACACAGCAATCAGCAGGATTGACGCTGCGCAAAAGTATCGATTTTACCTATTTATACTACTATTATTGAGGTATAATAATAGGCGCTAACAGCCTTACACGGTAGTATATGGGACTCTCAGAGTACAGCAGTCGATATTACTTCAGTTTTTGCAACCTGTACTTTCCTAAATTTAAGAAAGATTTAGCAATATAAGCTGATTTTCAGCAAAGTTTTGTTTTCTTCCCTGCTTCATACTACCACGTGCAGACCACAGCTTTCCAGGATATGCCGATATGCCATCAACATAAACGTAACTTCTCAAAACACAGCAAACATACAGAAACACTACAAGTCTCTACTTGCCTTATCTCTTGGGGCTCTTACGTTTGGGGTTTTTTTTGTTTGTTTGTTTGTCTGTTTTTACGGAATAAAATTAGATTTCAGCATCTGTCACCATCAGGAAAAAAACTCATCCCTGGCTCCCACATGAAAACATTGTAACCAATGCACAGTTACTGAACCATGATGCCTTAATGATCATTACACAAATCAACTTTTTTTTTGTTTGAAATAATGAAATTAAGAATGTGCTTTCATAATTACTTGAATCAGACTGTCAGGTTATAAATTTAATAGAAACCCAATAAGATTAAATTGTAAAAGTAACGTATACCACGCTAATTTATATATGTGTGGAATCTTTATATTTTGACTTATTCAGGTGTGCTGATTAAATGTTAGTAAACAATACTGTTAGTATTGCCGTTCTGCCACTAAAAAACAACAACCTGGGAGCAGATGCAAAGCACTTGGTAAACGTTTCTGTCTTCTTTTTGCATGCATTTTTCTAAAGCTCTCTTTTCAACATAATCTAACAAAAAAATACGTAGGCCTATTAGGCAGACAAATTGCAATAAAACCATAAGATTTTAAATACCGACATTAGGTGTTTGCCAATTACAGTTCTAAAACTCCCCACAGATATGATGTATTCAAGCAATTTGAATTATAGTATCTTCCTTAGCTCCTCAGTATAACCATAGTAACTTTTAAAGTATGTATTTTGAATTTAACAGAATTTGAATTTATTCTGCAGATAATATATTGATTCTTAAAAACATAGGAACTTTAAAAATATACAGAATGCATACATTCCTATACAGGAAAGGAATTAAACATTTGAAAGAATCTTCTAGATAAATCCCCAAACTCATTCAAACCTATGTGCCCGATAGTCCCTTTTCTTTGGGAAAGCCAACGAGCCGCCAGCAAAGTGCACCATGAAACTACAAGTACGCAAAACATCACTCACCTAAACCAGAGCACGATCTCACTAATATCACTGCAATCTCTTCCTGCTCCCATCACCCCTTCCTTGCCCTGCACTACGACCTCTGCCGTACCAAGCCCCTGTAGCCAGTTGGCTTGTTGAGCATCAGGTCCACATGCAGTCCTCTGTCAGTCAGGTAACTCTTGCCAAAGGCACTAACACAGCGCAAGGGAAGATGCTTGGTTTTTTACCTCAGCGCTACCTAAACAGAAACTTCTGTAGCGCATCATTTAATAGCTCTTCCGTACAAAGTGCTCTAGTCAGCAGAACATTATCTGCAGTCTCCTGGCTCAGGCAAGTCCGGCCACCTTGCAGATGCTGGCTGCTTAGACACCCAGTCTAACGTTGACCCAAATCAGTTCCTTAAAAAAAAAAAAAAAAAAAAAAAAAAAGGCCCTCCAGCAAACAACTATTTTTGTCCACTGGCAGAGCTGTTTTAGGTCCATTTTATACCCTAACTCCAGACTACACTCAGGAGTTAATCAAGTTTTTATATCCAAAATAAGATAAGAGCAGCAATGTTCAATTTTACTGATTTTAAAACCAAAACTGTTAACTATCGCATCATTTTCTAATACGTGTCCTCCAGGCTTTTCACTATAACTGGAAGTGGTTATCCCAGCATTTCCAGTTCTGAGCAGGAAACCAATATCCCCAAATTAAAAAAAAAAAACAACAACGGACCTCCCTCAAGAGAGGTTCTCTTAAAGAATATGTTTGAACAAGCCGCTTTTTTGTGCAAGGGAGACTTCTTTGCCCCAAGAAATATTTCTCTTTACCGTTGACAAGCTCCAATGCCGAATTTTTTACAATACAGGTATCTCCTTTAACATACATGGCTTTGCTACATATTTAAAGCTTGTTAATTGGCCAACTAGTAGTCAACTGGTTAGAGAAGACCAAACACATCCAGTTTACCTAAGAGGTTACTTCTGTGAAGCAGCTTTCTACTACAAGTGGTACTTTGGCTAACTACAGACCTGAAAGCCTGTTTAACACATAAATTAACACTGCATTGCTTAAACTGGGGAGAAAAATAACTTCTGAGAATACAGGCATAATCTCCACAATAAAAGGGAAAAGAACTACGTGTTTGGTGTTTTTTCTTTTCTATACTTGGTAGCAAAGTTTGTGCAAGAATCTAAATTTTATACCAATACTCCAAAAGAACTGCACTGCATCCTCCAGAAGCTTTCGTGCTTCATTTTGATTACCTGTCCCTTTTTAAGTCAGCATTGGAAGAGCTGTCCCATCTAGAAATTTTAAGGCTACTCACTTAAATAACTATACTATTACAGAAATCAGATCAGATCAAAATTACGTGGACCAACAGATTGGCTTCATACCTTAGGTTTACGGAGAACTGCAATGGGAAGGGGAAGGTGTAGAAAACGGACAGTTCTCTAACCCTGAGTCTTGACATGTAAATAAAGACATCTGAGGAGCACACAGGTTGGAAGGGGCTGTAACATTCTATCATAATTAGAAACATTTCAAGAGCCCTGTAATTTCCAATCAAAATTACAGTAATTTCCGATATACAAGCCATGATTCATGACAGAATTTTTACATTCCATGGGAGATTATAGTGGCCTGATGTATGACACACTGAGTACAGCACTAACATAAACAATTCAGTTTAATGTTTAAACAGCACTTGGTGTTTAGAATCCCACAATAAAAGAAACATATTATTGTAGAAATTATCACTTTGACAGTGATTGAAGGGTAGGCAGGCATGTGGCCTATAAAGCTATAATTTTTACAGTCCACAGCTTGAGTTTAATCATTTTGATATAACATTTCCAAAATATCCCTTAAAATGCTCCTTACAGCATATAACTTAAAAGACAACATCCTTTCTGTACAATGAAATGGAGTAAACTCCAATATGTGAACAACACAGAAGTCAAAAGTTAAAGGCTGTTAAAAAGAAAAGCAGCACTAAAATGCTGACGGTCCAAGAAACGTTGGTCTAACTGATCATTATCAGCTTTCCCTGCAAGATGCTGTATACTTCTATGAAGCAATTTTAGAAAAGTAAAGGAATAGTAAATAAGTGGACTTAACATTTCATCTAATGTGGAAATTCAGCATTGCAAGCACTGGTGCCTTTACCATTTTCTTCAAGCGTCAGTATAACCGTGGTTCTAGTCTCTCCCATTTTTCTACATTTTTCCTTTACTTGTTTCTTTAGTACATTCTCACTGAAATCAATGCTTTTGCATACACTGGTGATCTTTCTCAGAAGATACGTCACTTATGATAATCACACCCAACAAGTGCTTGCTGATTTCCCTCTCTTGCCACTAAACTTGACAGAAGTTCTTCAGTTGAAGAAAACAGAATAGGAAACCACACAACAAAGGCTTAAAACTGAATATGCAATATATATGCATGCACACATGAAGGTAACCAAGCAGCCATTGTATTCCACAAAGATCATACATGTTTTCTCAGATGTAACTTGTATAACCATAATTTGTTGGGTTTTTTCTTTGTTTTTGATGAGGACAGTGCTGCCTCACCTCCTGTGCACAGTGGGTCTGACTAAATATTTTTGCAAAACATAGAACACCAGCGTTCCTTGTTAAAAGCATATGTAATTGCAAAACACCAAAGCCTTGAGATGAATTCGGCAGCAATACACAGAGCTTGCCCACAACTTTTGCCACTTCCACGCCAGCTAAGAACTTGTGAACCTGATGCTTTCTGAGCTGCGCAAGACCCACGGGTGCGCAGCAAAGGCATCTTGCTGGTGGGGAAGAGGGAGGGATGTGTCTCAGGAAGCCGCTTCTCAACCCTGCCTGGTCAAGGGTAACAAGAGGTTACCTTTGGACTCAGCAAGGAGCTCCGAGCTGTGGTATTGGGCTGGTGTGCTAACCCAGCCACTCACTGTAACTCACACAGAAACAGATCAAAACCGGGAGGAGGGAAAATAATGACACAGGACAGGGAGGCCATCGCGCCCTGCGAACTTTACCTGGCTTTTGGTTGCCGCAACCTTTGCAAACAGTGCTTGAGACACCTTAGCTCTCTTCATTTCCTGCTGAATCTCATCGTAAATGGAAGCATTAATGTTCATGGAATTATTTTCTGTTTTTCCATTCCTCTCTGTAGCAATAGTAGCAGTTTTGACCTAGAAAATATATTTTATGAGTCATTTTTCACTATGAAAAAGTTATTTTCTTCTCTTTCCCTCCCCAAGTAGTTCCCCTTTCCATTTTATTCCTTTTATTCAATCTTCCTCTGATAGTCTTTCAACTTTTCAGACTTAACATTATAAGTTATCCGTGGTTCAGGCAACTGGGAAACAAGAAAATTCAGCATATTGTAACAGGTGAGTGCATCTGAAATATGAGTTATCATTAACTGACCACTGTGAATTTCAATGTCATAAAACAAATTAGGTGGAAACCTGTCAAACAGTCTTGTAGAGACTTGTGAATCCTTATATGATTTCTTTGCCCCGCACAAATTAAGTCAAAATTGTAACTGTGGCATAAAAGAATCTCTAATGAAATAAAAAACTGACAGATATATCTTGATTCATGTGTTATGTCCAGTACACTCAACTGCACGATGACATAGAAAAGTTGTGGCTTTAGACTCAACTTTCTAAAATATTATCAGTTTAATTCTTAAACTGTTTTTAAGAAAGCAATAATTTAGAATAATGCATATTTTAACCACTCATTAAATCAGGATAGGGTTTTCTTAAAACTATTAATTCTAGTTGTACTTCACTTACATTCGTGAAATATTTATTCTTCTCACAGTCCACATTAGAAAAAAAACACACATGAAACCAAGACAGAATGATTATACTACCACCTCTATGCTGCATCTGCAGCATTAAGGAAAACAACAAAAAATACATCAGTGGTGACATGATGTGCATGATGTGCAGAAGACTATCGTTTCCTTCATCCTCTGGAAATGATGGAAGTGATGTTTCAACACCAAGAATCATCCCACCAAGGTTAGAGAGCAGTTTCTGCAATATCAGTTGAGAGGTACAAAAAAATCAGCAGATACTCAGCTTATCCTACAATATTCTCAATAGTTAAGGATAATGTCTTTCTTTAGCAGCTACTCTTGTGATGCTTGCCCAAGATTAGTGGACCTAATGGAGCACTAATCCTGAAGCGGACCGGAGGAAAGGAAAGACTGGATTTCTGCCAAGAACCCACAGGGTTGATGATGCAAAAATCAAACCTTTAGATTTTGATTCAAACCTACTGGTTCATACTGAGGTTGTTGAGACCTGATTTAATGTAGCCATTCAGAAGTTACACGTCTAGTCTAAGTTAGTCATTCAGGCTACCTCTAAACCTAATGGACAGAGCTTGGCACTTCCAGAGGGTGACTCACCCTACTCTTAAGTATGTGTCTAAACCCAAACTTTCACTATCAGTTTAATCCAGTGCAAGTCAGCATCTTCCTGTGCTCTAAAGTCCCTTGAGGTTCAAAGGAAAATCTGACATGGTAATTCATCTTCTAATCTCACTCTTTATGAGCTTTCATATGTCAGAGGTCTCACAATACAAGAGTCAAAGGGTTTACGTGAGAGACGTACTTAGGCAAATCATCAGCCCATTTTTTCCTAGAAACGTCATGCTCAATTTGTGTTAAATATCCTCCCCAGTGTTTCTAAGATAAAATAATCTAGCCCAGAAACTGGGAGTGCATGCCACTTTTGCTGAGCCTCATTTGTCTATCGGGCTTTTTAGAAGCTGTGCTAACACATGCCCGTTAGCAGCAAGGGGCAAAACCCCAGCAAGAAGGCGGCGTCCACACATACTTTCCCCTGCCTCCTTCTGGCAGGCATTAGCACTTTATGGTGTCTGAAAGCAGGAGTCCTAAATGAAAAGGGAAATGAAGAAAAATCTCAGAAAGTGGCATACAGTTTATCACATGATTTGCTTTTGTCTGAAAACAACTGGTACTTTGCAGCCATGTCGTGGAGAGTGAAGCGTTTCCTTTTCTGCAGTGTGCCATTTTACAGGTGACATTGCAGCAGAGGATGGCCAAGCCTGGGCCAACGGCTGCTCAGAAACATTTGAGGCACTTGGCAGCGGGCAGCGTGAGGAGCAGCACCATGAACCTCTTCTTCCCACCGCAGAGCAGGAAAACGCATGCCTCACACTGGGCAAATCAGCATGGGGCCACAAGAGCAGGTGCATCTCCTGAACACCATACAGTGAAATCATTTGAAAATTACAAAATCAGTGGCAATTTTATAACCTTTAAATGAAAAGGACTCGCTGAAAGATAACATCCCCGTTGGTTGTCAGTTAAGTATACAACTGGAGACAGCCTTCTCTGCTTGCATGTAAAAATCAGGCTAAGCTAAATTAGAAAATGAAAAAGCGATGGCTTTGTCAACACACCTTCTTGGACCTTGGGTTTAAATTTTGGCAAATTTATTTCAGTCCTTCCCAAAGGAATATTTCTAACTTGTAACTAACTAATCTTTGAGGGTCCTGAGTGAAAGATGAGAAGACGAAGGTATTCAGCTAGCATGCACAAGTCCACGGTATCTTTTGGGAAGGTAACACTTCGCTCTTGTGATTCTGATCGAAACGTCTCTCTTCTGTAAGCACACTGCCTTTTTGATTGCTACTCAGCTTCAAAAGACAGCTTCACATTGTAGCAGTACCTCATAGACCACTTAACTGAGCTATGAACACTCAGATCATCAAAAAAACAAGACTCGCACACCACATTGGAGACATAATTTAAACTGTGCATCTTGGTCCACACTTTTCAATGCCCAATTTAATAGGGATATCATTTAATCCAGGGGAATTACTGAAAATCCTCATTCTGGTTGGCAAATCACACCTATCTTTATACAGGTACAACAAACTCAACAGCATCTAATATGTCACTGAAGTTAAAGCAAACAAAATAAGTCCTACTGCCTTCTGTTGATATTGAATTAGGAAGTGAACAACAGAAAACACTAATATCTGCATCAAAAAGCCATATTAGCCCAAAGAGCTTCAGAAGAATAGAAGTCTTAAAGTTATAAAATGATGGATTTGGGGATTATCAGGAGTTGTTGGTCACAGCCATACCCTCTCCCTCTCCAATTCATATAATCGGCTAGGTATAAAAATTCTTCCCCTGCTTCTTAATAATTTCTCTTCAAAGATCAGGTATAGACTGTGGCTGGACTAGATGGACCATTGGTCTGCTCTGGTCTGATGAATTCCATGCAATAATGCTAATTAACCTCTTGGAGAATATCCATACATAAAACTGTTTCATAATTTATACATAGCAAGCATCTAGGCTGTTGTGTTGAATTTAGAATTGAGTTCAAGACAGAGGCTGTTTGAAGCTGGGTTGAAAAAACACCCTCCTCCTCAAAAAAAACAACAGAAAACAAAAAAAGCCCCCAACGGTGCAACTTCAGGACTTAGGAGAGGAGGTGGAAAAAGTATTCATTCTGAAGAGAAAAACAAAACAAAACATAATCTCTCATCTCATCCACACTTAAGCACAACCTCCCACCCCACCCACACTTATAGCCACATTTTCTGTTTAGGAAAGAAACCACAGATCAGCTAAATTTTTTTGACAGTACCCAAATTTTGCAAACACTAACTGAACAGGGGAGCATTATTTTACGAATGTAACACACTGAGAATCAGAAATTTGTTTGGCCATCTTCCTATCACCAATCAATTTAGTCTTTTAAAAGTACTTGGAAAAAAAAATAACACATCCATCCCCTCCTGGCCTGCCCAGATATATCTTCTCATCAAATAAGGCTGATTACAGTAGCAAGAAGTTCTGGATTAATTCAATTTTCCTAATGAAAGGACAGCTTGCTATAGAAGGAATAACCAATCTGAAGAGGTTTTCATAAACATGGAAGCTCATTTCTTCCTCATCGAAACTGAAACAAAAAGATCTTTTATAACACATTCTCATAAGTACTGTTTTAGCTTGGGAATAAAAATCTTCTTTAATCCTGGTTTAGCTTTTAATATTACGTTGTACATTAAAATTCATAAAGTAGTTCATTCCAGGCAAAACAAACTACTTTTCAGTTCTGCTCTGCAAATAGCACAGGAGGTACAATAAATGCTGTTGCTTTCAGAACAGCTTTTATCAGGACAAGGTTTACTACTCCATTATTACAGTGGCGCCTGGAAGTGCAGTTATAGTTAAGTGTCAGGGTTTCCATTAACTCTCCTCCATGGTGGTTTTTGTGGGGGTGGGGGGGCGGGAAGGCTTGCATTTATTATTTTGTTCATTTTTACTTTCATTAAAATGCAACTTGGCACAAAGACTATCAACCTAAATCTCAAATTTTGCAGCTGTAAAAAAAAAAAATTTTGCTGGCGGTGAAGTATGGTATGTGCATGTGTTTGAACTCCAGGGCGCCACCATCAAGTTTCACGGGAGCTGCTGTTATCCAGAGTTCCTTGCAATGGAAGTTCACTGGTCCTCAAACACCAGCAAATCAGTGTCCTCCTCAAAACTACTCTTTCAAGAGTGACGTCCTATCTCTGGGACCCAAGCTGAAATTGCTTTAGCATGGAGGAACTGTAATTTATCTGTAGTCAGAGGGAGGCCAGGATTATATTTATGAAAATGAAGGGTTTTGTCAATGGAATACCCAGAACCGTAACTCATGCAAGATTTGTGATACTTCTTAAAACACTGTTAAAATTATATTCTGCTCTTGACATTACACATACTCTGTTTTCACACAGGATGATGACGGGCCCCAAGAGTCAGCAAAATTTTCTTTGGGGAATATGGGTGGTGAGAAGGATTTGTCTGGGATCTCTCTTCTGAAATGGGAATTACTTGTCCTGAGAAGGAAGTGTTCATATCTGCAGGATGGCTAACAAGCTTTAATCAGATTATTTCGAAAAAGAAAACCTGTGACTTGGTCACCTGTCTCCATCCTTCCCCCAAGTTGCACTAAGGAAGTGGGAGTCCTCTTCCCTCCATACCCTGAACTGCCTCAATGAGAGGGAGAGGCCATCGCTAGCACCTCCGCGGGGAGCTCCATCCACCCTGAACATAGCTCCACACTCAGTGTCCTCTGAAGTATCCCCACATCCTCTCATTCCCACACAACATGTAATAGACTCATCCTCTGAACTTGACTTAGGGATACCCAGAAAGGACCTCTGTGGCGTGGTCTGCAAGATGAAGGTGTTGAAGAGGGGAAAAAAAAAATTAATAAAAGTAATAGAACAAGAAAGGACCTTTTTTTCCTCCTCTTAAGCTAGTGAGGTTAAACTATGTCTCCATGCAGCACCTACCTGATGGAGATGCTAACATTTATAAACTCCACTGCCCCAGGAACGCCCCTGACCGGCAGGCTTCTGCCCCAGGAGGTGGCAAGATGAACAATGTCCAAGGGAAAAATTCTTGTATACACCGTCTCCTTGCACTCAGTTTGCCAGTGTGGAAGATAGCAGACTTTTACAACTTGACCAGCTTAGAAGGCTATACACATATCCCAAAAGCTCATGCATTAGAGGCTAATGATTTCAATTTAAAAAAAAAAAAAAAAGTAAGATTTTGCTTCTTTGTTTAAGTCAGAGAGAAAGGGAGAAGTAAGGGGGACAAAGAGCTTCTTAAAGGATTTCAAAAAAGAATTGGAAACAATCCAGATACTAGTTGCTACTTGAGCTAATGTAAGAATGCTGTAAAAATGAGATAAATTCAACACAGTTCCTTCTAACTCAGGCACCAGGGTTTATGTTTGGTGAGTTCCTACTATCCTATCAGACCTCCAAGGTCACGCTTTCTGTTTTTGCATGCAACAGTATGCAAAATTCACACAGAACAAGCTCAGCTGCTAAATGGTTAAGTCTGCTCTACTGTCTGGCCACCAGTTGGCAACACAAAAATGCAAAATAGATCCTTTTCAGGATGTTTATTTTCACATCCTTCTGAAACTGATAACTTGCAATTGCAAAATAAACCTTCATGTGTGGCACATTAGCTCCCATTTTTCATGGTTTCATAGTTTTAATTGTTTCAAATGTTACACTGGTCTAAAGATTTAATATTAAGTATGTTGGCTCTTGTGTAAATTCTGTTGTCAGGATAAACGGTCTGTTTTATCTTTCAATAGTTATCCAAGAAGCTCACAGCTAAGCTAGAAAAATATTATGCTCTGTCCCTGTATAGTGGACTTTAAATAATTGCTTACAATAAATTTAGTAGTAAGGATGCTAGTAGTTTTATTTCCTTAGTATCAAATATTCAATAAACTGTGGACATTTGGGGGGGTATCAGAGTAGTAGTTTGCATTAATAATTTTGCAGTATCCTGATTATAATTTATTTCTGCTACGATTTGTAACATTATACTTGCCAGTGCAACAACTGGAACAATTTCATTATTATTTCTAGCATTAAGTATGGTACTTATGTTACCAACACAAATATTTCAATTTTCAAATTTAGGGCTCTGAACACTTAGTAGCAGGTGGCAAGTGCTACATGTGTTTATAGGTGGGTAATTCTGGCAACATGTAAAAAGGTCGCACAGAATCCCAGCTCAGAGGTTTCTACATTCTTGGTCCATCCACTAGATAAAGCGCATATGTTTTGCTGAATGACAGAGAACAATATAACAACTAGAAAAATAACTTTTACTCTGTAGAGCTCAAGTATTAGTCTGTTAGGTTTCCTTGTTAACCTGTTTTCCTTTTGAAAAGGATCAAAACAGAACTGTGTGCTGTTTCCACTTTGAACTGTTGCAATTAGGTTAACTATACTCCTGACTCCCACTAAAAAAATGAAATGTAATTATGAACAAGAGCACAGTAGAGACAGATAGATTCCCCCCCCGCCTCTGACCCCTAAATTTGGACTTAGAGCATGTTTTGTCAGTTAAGAAAACCCCTAAGTCTCACTTTCTTTCTGGCTGCAAGGGATTTATAGTTTAAAGTGTGAATTAAAACCAACACAAGGACTACCTCTGACTTGACATCCTTCTGGAAGGTCCTGTAATTAACTCTGTTCTTTAGCTGTGAAATTGCCCAAGACCACTTGAGACAGAGTGAGACATTACCTTGGCAGAAAGGGATAAGTTAAGAAGGAGGGTTAGCCTTTGCTCTGAATTACCTGGGCTGTGGGAGCAGGTACAGATATTAAAACAAACTCAAATGTTATTTTAAACACCGTTATCTATATTTAACTCTTTCCCACTAAAGCACTGCTATGTAAATAGATTCTCATCCTTTATCTTGAAGAGTATCTATAGTGGATTTCACAGACTAAACTCAGTTAATGATAACAAAACTAGAGCACTAGCACAGTCTGTTCTTTCTGCTAAATTTTTTTTCTCTTCTTGTGAAAAGTACTGCAGCAGGTCAAAGTGATCTTCTCTCCTCCCTTTTCCTACGATTTTGTTATTCATTAATTTAGTGTGGTCCTTGGTATCCATTAGCTGCAGGAAAATTAGAAAAATGATCTCAAGGAATTTATAGCATTCAGAATGGGTATGGAATATAGTCATAGCCACAAGCCTAAACCCTGTTAGCAAAAAAACTGCTCGGTGTTTATATACTCAACCATCACAAAATTCCCACAATCCCAGAGCCTTCCTTTATACAGCAAATCTGGACTGTGTATACAGCATGATTCCCACATATCTGCAGATCAGTTTGTTTTGTCCCTGCACAGGTACAACCTTGAGCCACAGCAATGCAGAGTGTTTCAGAAAAGATACAGTGTTTTGGAGTGTTTCATTCACAACTGTGCTTCTTCTTTGTGAAATCCTACGCATTCCTATGGCTCACACCGGTATTTCTCATGTACCCTAAAACTAGCAAGGACTACCTTGAATTTCTTGATACCACTCTACCAAACTTTATAATTTTGGGAAAATTAAACCAATAGTCCCACTAGATTTTACAGAAATCAACAGGAGTTTCTTTTGAACAAATACTAAATGAAGCTTTAATGAACATATCCAATCTTTCAATGATGGATATAGCAACTCTGTTATGTTATCCAGTTGTCAGTAGCTCGACCTGGTGAAAGCATGCCCAGCATTTTGGGATGGAGTCTTCTTCCCCCCATCACTTTAGTTTTACCTGTTCATTTTCTGGAAGATAATTTTTAAGGCGATACGATGTACTCATACTTCTGCTTTCATTCCCACTCGGTTTAGTGGTCCAAATCCTTCAAAATCCCTATTTGAACCTCTAACATTAAAAACAACACCTGAGAATTATAGGAAAAAAGAGACAGCTAAAAGCCAGCATCTTCCCGGCCCAGTAAAGCTCGTATCTCAGCTATCATCCATTATATTTCTTAAATTTAATTTGTGATATGCACTGCAAATAATGATTCTACAAGCATTTAAAAAATGCAGCAATAAAAGCTTTCTTCTTTTTAAGAAAGGTATCACCCAGCAGGACAGTGAGAAAACACAATGAGCAAATCTCAAAGAGAGAGAGTGGTTTACTTGTGGAGGCCGGCTAGGCGGTGTGCTTATGAGAGGTGCGGGGCCCATTGCAGAGGCTGCGTTCAAGCTCCTTTCCCTTTCGTCCTGGTAAATTCGATCTCGTTCGGCTTCTGGCAGCTGCAAGAAGTTCTGCATAGCCCGAAGGTTTACCAGTAAGGACTGCGAGGCAGTCTTGGGATCTTCTTCCTTTCGGAGGATTTCTGAGAGCAAGCCCTGTAGGGAGGGAAGAAAAAAACACGCTGCAGAGTTAGCCTAGGTGAGCATCTGTAAAACTGGGCTCTGCAAAGCCACTGCTTATCAGTCCTCTTTCTTCTTTCCCCTGGGCTGAGAATGAGAGCAGCAAATGCACTATTCACTCCACAGAGGAATATATTAATGGCATTTTAGGTAGCAGAGAAGAGAGCATCAGTTATACCCTTAATTTTATTAAGCATCTGGTTTACATACAACATAAACTGAATCTGCCTAATAGGTCTCCTTCCTTTTACTGGCTTAACTTGCCATGAAACCTTTCACAGTCAACAAACAATCACAAGATGTTAAGAATAAGTGAAATAGAGACAGTGGGGTGTTCTCAGGCTTCCCAGACAAAAAGCAGAGCCAGCCTAAAAAACATGGCTTTCCACATTTCTAGCAACTTAAACAGCTCTTTGAAAATAAATGATATTTCACAACTAATCTGATACGATAAACTCACAACATTCCTAATGTACTGCTTAACTCACTCAGGTCCACATTTGTTATAAGTCAATATATTGTTTTGAGAGTTGTATACTGGACTTTAACAACGAGTGAGGAAACTCACCATTGGATGCTCCCCCTCCTTCAGCTTCCTCCTCCTCCCACTGTCCCCCTCTCCTCACCAGGACAACCCCAATCCTCACCCAGTCCATGGCCTGGGCTATTTATTTGAGCACCTGCTGTACAGGTCCCATTTCCCAAGTCCATTTACCACTGTTGTCCTTTGACCACTTTCAGAGTCCAGCAATCATAGGTAAAAGTGAGCGCTGGGGAATGAGAGGAAAACAGCATACAGGGCATCCACAGCAGTGAGCCAGAGAAGGGCAGACTGCAGATGATAGCATGCTGCCAGCAGACAGTACAGACCACACCAGGTTTCCTATGTAATCATTTCATCTCGGTTCTCAGCAATGGAGTAGGCCTGGCGGTCTGGGACACCTAATTACTCTGAAAGATGAAATATTTATGAACCTGTGAGTGCAACTACAACTTTAATGTCAACAAGTTCTTGAAACCTCCCCCCTGCCAAATTCTCCCTTTAAATGTGTCAGGCATACAAAATGCTCTACTGTCTTGAGGTAACAAGATGATGATAAGAAAACTAACTTTTGCAAAAGCGGATGTGAACTTTTTAGAATAAATGCTGTTGCCATGCTGGGACAAGGACAGGGTTGGTATGAGAGGCTTTTATTCCTAGTGTAACAAGGGAACACAGATGTGGTTCTAAAGAAATAACACAACCCAATGTTTCTTCTCCTGAAGAACTGTTGTTATCTAGGATAATGGAGGAGTGAATGGATGGAGGGAGGAAAGCAATAAAAAAAGCTAAAACTAACTAAGAGAGGCAATCCTGAATGAAGATATCCATTCCTAAGGGAGTGCAACAGAACGCTACGGCCTAAGCATCAGCCTCCTCTGTATGGAAGCCTGATGCTCAGAGCACCTATGGCAGTTGTCACCTCTCTCAAAGGTCCTATCCTTAGGGGCAAAAGCCCCTTATGAAGGTGCTGCTGCAAAGCCACCGCTCTCAGGCAGCTGTGCTTAGGCAGGGTCAGAGCCCACCCAGGGCGGCTTTGAGCTCTGCATTTCCCCCGTTGCCCCTCCATCTCTCAGGGGCGATAAGGACGGAGGTGCTAACCAGTATACTGGGGCCAGTGTGGTCCTCATGGCCCTGTCTGTGCCTGCACACATAAGAGGGAAATGGGATGGAAAACACAAACAGTCTTTATAGCACCGAGCATGAAAAATAATTTGGAGGAGGATTAAAAAAATAATAATCCTGGGGGATACTTTCTTACCACTATTCTTCATCCCTCCTCTTTTCTGGTATCCAGGCAGAAACTACGCAGAAGGCAAATAAATGCATTAAGACACAAAAGTGGCATTTCGGTGGAGAGTAAGTTTTAAAATTTTTCTTAATGACTAATCTAATAATAAATTTACTTATTAGCAAATATGGAAATTAAATTCTTGTCTTCCATTTTTTTCTACTTCTAAGTAGTCAAACCCACAGTTACTACTGTTTGTCAGTGGTAGGGTTACATGACCCATCCTCCAAGGGAGGCAAAGAATGACTTTGTGCCACTGGAGACAAGGCAAAGCTGTCTGCAGAGCACAGGATGTACAACGGAGGTGTAAACACATTTGATTTCTGACCGCTATTGTGCTGAAAACCACTGCACCAGGATTAAAAAGAAGAAAGAAAAACTGAACTCAAGTGGACTGATCATCGGCAGGAGAGGAGGCTCCTTACTAACAGACAGCCTATTGTCAGCCACAGGAAATGTCCTTGAAAAATACTTTAGCCCATAATAGAAAATATTTGCTAATATAAGCCTTTGCCACATAGTGGGCAGCTAAAAAAAGCCGAAAAGGCTGTTTTTCTTGTATAACTTTTCCCCCCTCAGTGAAATAAATAAAGAAAATTGGGTTTTGTAGTTTTCTTGCGTTTGTCAGTACAACCATTGCTGCAGGACACCTCTTGGTGATTAGATATGCCATTAAGCATTCATTGCCCTCTCCTTCCCCCATCACTGCCATGACTCTTCGCATGAGCTGGGAGCAGAGCAGAGGACACAGATGCAGAGACATCAGAGGAGATGAGAGAGTGGGGAGAAAGCAAGGAAGAGGTGTTTTCTTCTAGGAGCTTTGAACCTAAAGGTCAGAATATGCAAGAAAATAACATGAGAAATAAGGTATAGTACCGGGTGCAGGCAAAGTCTTACAATACAGTTTGCCTGCTTCATATATTACTTCATTTCTACTATTCAATTTTCTGAGCACAAAACTTCAGCTAAAGATTGTTAGACAAGATGTAAAATGGGAAAATCCTAGAAAGAAAACATCAGCTCTCATATCCTGCCCTGTGCCGATATGCAGAGATTTACCGTTCGTTTTACCAGGCCTGAACTGGTTTGCCAAGGTACAAGTCTTGGTGTGATCTCCTGATATTGTACTTCAGGTTGCATAAAAGCTAAATGCTGTTTTGCATAGAGACTATAAACACTGTTAGGCTCAGAGTCCTCCTCACTGTTCCTCCCTTGTACTCTTTTTGCACTGGAAATGTATTTTCTTAAAATGTTACTAGGTCTTATTGAAAAAAAGAAAGTTTACATGTCATCACAAGTATAATTCATTACTAATTGCACAAAAATGTTCAATAAATATTATCAGGGCTTTCAAAAGCTAACGATGAATTCTTTAAAAATGGAGATAAATGAAAGTGTCTGCCAATATGAACAAAAACACTGTCTGGCCCCCAGTTTGTCTCCTCTTTGAACATAATCACTGATTCAAATAGATTTTATCAGCCTGATAGAACTTCAAAGCTCCCAGAAGAAAAATGCCATTTGCCCAAACCTCCCCCAAAACAGGCAGAACATCCCTGAACGCTACCCCTCTCTGTTGCAGGGTGCTCCCATCCCATGTCCAGGTGGAAGATTATTCGCAAGCTCCACCCACAAGCCTGGATCCCTGCCAAGTAAGTTATAAGCAGACACATTTATCTGTGTCGCTTAGTAGCAAGAGGAGAGCTGTCATGATAGTGTAATAGCACCTTTTTACCTTTTATTCAATAGTGATATGGGTAGTGTGCTTTTTCTTAAATTACACTACGAAGAATTATATGAATACAGTGGCAATTTCTGTTATAGTTAAGCAGGCAAATTTCTCTCTACCACATAATTTACAGAACTCAAATTCAATAAAACATTACATGATGGTCCATTACTGTTATCAATTTTGAATAATCCATCTTCATTTTTCATTTTACTGGAAAATAAAGTGTGCCAAAGACAAAGTGGAGGAAAAAAAAAGTGCCTGAGAAGGTGGTTTGTGTAAACTTAGATTTTGTTTTAAAATTACATGGAGCCGTTTACTGCATCCAAGTGTTCTCCCTCGAAATAGCAATTGCCCAGAATTAGCACGAGCACAGTCCTAAATACACAAAAGTTTTCACATATGAGAAAAGGCATTATACATGAATGAAAGGCAATGTATCCTGGCAGCTAATATTTTAAACAAGCATGGGGGTGAAGTAGAAAGGAGGGGGAAAGAAAAGGTATCTGGCAGAAACGCTGAGAAGTACTTAAAACCCGCAAGTTGAAAAACTGTCACTGGTGGGAAGAAAAAAAATTACAATAGTCAGACATGGCACAAGCAGCAAAAAGCACTCCCCCTCCTTTCGCGAAGATGGAGCCGAGAGGTCACCTCTGTACAGCAGCACCCGAGTTCATACGGCAAATGTTATGGTTGAAAGTGTACACAAACAGAGACGGGCAGCCCCGAGTTACAGTTCCAACCACAACCATGACTAACACAATTCCTTGCTCATGCGGTACGTACATGTCACCCTGCCATGCACCAGGTTAAGCTACGCCTTCAAGTCAAATGTCAGACTTGCTTGTGGGAACCCAAGCTTTCCGTTTCCTGACTCACGTTTACATTTACAAACAGACGACAGAAAGGGTACAGAAGTTTGTTTATTTGTTCAGGCCGCCGAAGGTGGTTCAGCTGAACAAACGCCGATGCTCCGCTCCAGCTCTCTTGAGAAGCACAAAACAGAGCAGAGAGCCTCTCAGTTCAACTGCGAATTTGCAGGGGCAGGCTGAGCCCCTCTGCTGACGGGAGGCTCTGGCAGAGGCCGGCGTGGGCACCGCGCTCTGCGGGGCTGTCCCGATGCATCGGCGCCGGCGCCCCGTGGCTGCTCCGTGCCTCCCAGGCCAGCGAGCTGAGCCCAAATGACATTTTCTCACCAGCGAAGCGCAAGAAGAGACTGAACTCGCTCTTTCAAGAGAACGGAGGTGTCTGCATAGTGCACTGACGTCAGCCAGAAAAAATACCATGTTTATTAATTCTGCCAAACGGCAACCAAAACATAAGTGGCTCAATTTGCCAAAATTACCCCAGCAAACAGAGAGACTGGTAGACACGCTTGGTAGCCATGCTTGAGGTGAAACTCGGATGGACCAGCGCAAATCCTGACTCAACAAACTTTTCCCTGGTGCACTACAAAGAGGTGCTAACAGGATTCAATCTGTTTCTTTGCAGCCAGTGAGCTGGAATCGCAACTGCTGAAGGACAAATAACACTTCAGACCCCACTGCGCTCTGAAGCCTTCCTAGAAGGACTACTGTGAAATTTCTCATGGGGAGAGGCGCTCCACCCTCCAAAACTACTTCTGCTCCCTACAACAATTGTTCTATTGTGCCTGTATAGATGTTAATTTTCATTCAAGTTACAGCTTTCTGGACTCCTCTTTGATTAAACTTTGCAAGGCACATTCCTGAGAACTACACATTTTTGAAACTACCATTTTGAAGTCAAGGGTAGGGGGGGAAGTTATCCAAGAAGATATTAAGGACACTGCTTCAATTTTCTGAGGTGTGGTGGTGGTGGGGGGTCCACCTTATAAATAGATGATAATTAAAAAAAAAGACACCCTGGTTTTCAGAAGTAATTTTATCAAATCCTTTCCTTTGAGCTGGGAAGAGGTAGAAATATTTCTACTCAACATTTTTGCCCCCAAACAAAAAATTTTTGAAAATTAGGGCCAGTGTTGAATTACCACACTAAGCCGGTAGAACCCACCCTTCCCACCGAAACCTGCCACCAAATTCTGTATTCACATTGTAGAGCACAAGTCTGTAAAAAAAGAGGTGCCAACATCTTCAGCCAATTCCACCAAAGTCCACTTTTATTGCCAAAACATTAAGGAAATTACTTTTAGTTTATAGTTCACTTCCTTCCTTAACTTTTATGCAGAAAGCAAATCTCTCCCCTCATCTGAGACTGTATCTCGACATCAGGGTTTTTTTGCACAGAACTCCTAAGCGATTTCAGTGACATCTTCTGCCTTTAGAAACTGATGGCATGATATGGTCCCTGGACACGGCTCAAATATGCTTGTGACAGTTTCAAAAATGTCAGTGGTAAGCCTGAGTTAGCTTTTTATCTCAGAAAACAGTAGATGAATTTAAACAAGCATTTTTACTTGCTCTAGCCAAAATAAAAAATAAACCAAAAAAAAAAGACAAAAGATATTACATCAATATTAGAAACGAACTTCTAAATAGCATCAGTTATTAAAATGCTGCTCTAATTTTAGTTAAATGTGGTGTATCCTTGAATAAGCTGTGATAAATTCTGAAGTACAGCAAGCAGAACAAATTTAAGTGTTTTCATATAAGAATCACAGGTATCTCTACCTATGTTTATACTTGGACATTAGCTGTTACTGTGGGTAAAACTGACAATTTTCAGTTTTGCAAAGGTGAAATGTGCCTACAAGAAACTCCTCTGGATTTCAGTAGGGCTTTGCTTCATATGAAAAGTATGCTATTTCTTGGCAACACTGAGGCTAACATTGTCTATGCTCCTAGTATTTTTCCCTTCTGTTCCCTATGTTTGCCACATTACATAACAAATACTGCAAAATCTTATGTAGCTAACTGCAAATACTAATTTGATTAGCTAACACAGTTTGTAGGATATAGGGATACTACCCTGTGTTATTTCAAGTTGATTTGGCTGAAAATTGCCAAAGTATATTACATATATATTTCATATCTCTTCATGGAATTTGTTTTCAACGTTCATTTTGGGGTTTCCTCGCAGTTTTAGGTCACTTTGAACACAGTTTACCAAGATGGTTAACCACAACATCTGTGGAAGAATTGAACTTTAAACAAATATTTAATAACATTGGTAGTAAGAAAAATATATAGTAATCAGGAATCACTATTTGCCCTAGAAATCTGGTTCTACAGTTGCATTCACCACATCTCAAGAGCAACTTCTCATACAGTGTCATATAAATTCAATGTCCAGTCAGAACCAATCATCCTTGTATTTTAGGTAACAAATACTGTCCATGCACAGACGATAGACCAAAAGCTGTAGGCAAAACTACCTGACAAAAACTGAACAAATGACTTTGCAGGGGGAAGAAAGTTGAGAGAAAACAAGCTGCTTTTAGGCAAGTCTGAGAAAGAAATAAATATATAATAAACTAATTATTTTCTAAATGATTTGCTTGGCTGTTTGTCCAGGTAAGATAGCAGCTGCAAACCATTGTAACTTGAAGCTACAATTATTACTTCAATACTTTATAATTTCATGAGCTAAAATATTAAACATTGTATTAAACAAAACTCTATGCCATTTATTTGTAAATATAACAACTGACACTGCCTGGACTCAACTTACGTAAGTAATCCTTGCATGAGTTAATGTATCCCATGGAATTTGGTATGAAAGACCCAGATCTTGAAAGATTCCTCTGCTGTTAAGAGGAAAGATACACACACATACACACAGAGCTCTACAGAGAATTCACACCATGACTCTACTTTCTTTTAGCTAAAGGAGGATGTCAAAATTTTTAAGGCAATAATAATTCAGAACAATTACAAATGACATGCTGATTCAAACCTGGTACCAGTGCATTTGAAACAGAATTTTTATTCTCTAAGCTATGCAGGGAGAAACATCAACATTTCAAGAGAAGCCCAAATTATGGTTTGTTTTTTTTTTACTGTATTCTGCAGTAGACAAATAATTGTTCCCTAAGTTTAAAAATGTGAAATCCAAGGCAAATTTACCTATGTCTTTTTAAAATATTTCCTATTAAAAAAAATTCCTATTTTATTTTCTGTTAAAATAGACTTCTAAAATTTTGAGATCTTATTATTTCCATTGGATATACTGACATTTCTTCCATAATTTCTGCTTGATTAAATTCCATGCAACATGGCATTAAGTTAAATTCATAGAGCAGAATAAATTATAACAGGGTTAGCTTCTAAAACAGGTGTAAAAAATAACACATTTTAGTGTTACTTATCAGCTTTGCTAGGGCTAGCTTCTTCTGCATTGAAGAGCTGAAGTATATGTTCTGACGTGGACATTGGCAATCTCAGCAACTACTGTTTTTGCAACAAACTGCAAAAATACATGAAAAGAGTAGATGATCTAAAAATAAAGCTTTTTTTTTTTTTTTAATCTTTTCAGAAGCCTGAAAAGATATTATTTAGACTTTCACTACAAAATAGTAAAAACAAACGTGAACAAGAATAGAAGACGATCTCCAGTACACCTGTGAAAGAAGACAAGTTGTTCAGTACATGCATGTGGTCAGGATGGGTATACCTTTGCAACACAAAAGGCAATCTGTTGGGTGACTTTGTGAATGGTTCTGCATAGAGCTGTTCATTTCCTTCCCAGGGAATATTCAGTTATTCATAAACCATCACAACTGGAGAGGAACCAAGGTGTCTGTAAGAACCATGGGTATTTCCACAAACCAATTACTGAAGATTTCTGTATTTTATCAACATGGACACTGGTCCTGCAAGGAAGAAGCGTGATTCCTTCACAGGAGCTAAGTGGCAAGGCAGAAATGAGGAGAGAGACTTAAAAGGTGATAATTACAAAATAGAGAGGGAAAGAAGGGACTCAGATTTAAAAAAAATAAGAAAAAAGATGACTGACCTGAGTTCGGTTAAAAGCCACACGTGCAAATACTGCCTGTGAGATTCCTGCTCGTTTCAGTTCATCACGGACCCACTGGTAGATTTCGGAAGACACCTCTGTGTTTGTTGAGACCTGCTGCTCCAACGGCTTGTTCATGGATCTACTGACAGGAGGAGGGTGGTTCAAGTACTGTTGGTTTAAGGACTGCTGGGCTAGAAGTCTGTTCACTGCATACTGCTGGTTCAGCAACTGGGCCATTACCAGCTGCTGATTTACCAGCTGAGGGCTAATGGGAGTAGATACAAGTCCAGGGTGCAGGTTTGGAAGCGGGGTCCGAACTGATGGTTGACTACCATGAGAAAGCTGAACAGGGGATGGAGGCTGTTCGGCTGTGTTCCCTGGGACCGGCTGCTGACCGAAGTTGACATGGTTGGCACCTTGCTGGGATAGTTCAGAAAGGCTATCCATCTCAACTATGGTGGAAAAGAAACATTGAAAAAGCCAACATAAGACTGGAAATCACAAACTTCATGCTCCTCGCAAGACGTGCTAATAAAAATAAACAAATATAAAATGGCGCATTCAGGTTCAAGCTTACTGTACTGTCCAGCCTAGATCAGAGGGCCTATTACATCACTGTTGCAGCTATTTGCCTTCAAAATTTACGTACAAATAATGGTGTAGTGACTATTTAAAAAAAAAAAAAAAAATCCAACAAACTGCCCATCATCGTCACTGGGCCCTAGGAGGTACCAGCAGAACATCAGAGGCAAAACCACATGCTGGAAACCACGTACGGCAAAGGAGTAACCTCCTGAGAGTTTGGCAAAGGCGCAATGCAGCCAAACCCCGAGCGTTTTTGCAGAGCTCATCCCGCAGCAATGGATGCGGGGGACGTCAGACAAGGCAGTAAGCAACTAGAGAGGGGGCACAGATGAGAGACAGGAAACCACTCTGTGCGCTGCAGAAGATGCAGGTGAAATGGTAAGTGCATCTGCGCAAACGGTAAGGGGGTCTGTCATGGGAAAGCACACCCCGACCAGAGAGGACCAGAGAGAAAGACGACCCCAGTGACTGGTTTTGTTCCTCCCGCCATGTCCCCGCCATGACATCTGCAGTTCCCAGCCACTAGAAATCTGTAACAAGCAGGGTGGGGTGTGGACCTCCCCATGCTCTGCTAATTTCTAGATGCTGCATCAATTGTATGGGACTGCTAGGAACTAGTATAATTTATGTAAATTACACAGATGGGCTGCTTTATCTTGCAACCATGTATGCATGTTTTTTTCAGTGACTTGCAACATGGTTGAATTTTTTTCTTATATTAACTCATCTGTCTTGACACACCCTCCTTTTTAATTAACAACATAGTTTTTTAAACTACAAGAGTTCTTCCAGCTCCCCTCTTGTGCAAGATAAGACAACATAAAATAACTCTAGGCTGAAGTAAAGGAGTCTCCTTTTTATCAGTGTATGTCACTTTTTCATTTTAAACAATCTCAGTTCTAGAGCTTTAGCAATGCTGGTCTGGAAATAGCCTTAAGAAAATATGCTTTATTTGAAAACCAAAGCTCCAGTAGCTTCACAAAAGTGTGGTAGCAATTTTTTTCTTATACTAGTAAAGCATATTAAACAAATAAAAAGGCAGTGTCTGAGCTTTTCATAGTAATTATGATCTTCACTAACAGTCACTCAGTGCAAGACCACCCTTTCCTCCACAGGGGTGAGAGCTGGAAGAAGAAATCGGCACCTGGATTCCCACACGCAGCCCTGCATTCCGCCTCTGTCCTATCACGGGCAGAAATTTAAAAAATAAAAAGCAAGCCGGTTGTTCTGCAGAGAAGTGTGGTGTGCAGAGCCTGGATCAGTCCTCCAGCAGAGCACCCGCTGCTCCTCACCCTTGTGGCTTTGGGGGCAGTGCTGCCTCTCCCCATAGCATTAGGTAACACAGGAATACACACCACACACACTCCCCATGTTTCCTATGCACTGGCTTCATTGTCCCCGAATGAACGGATGGATGAACGGATGGCGAACCTGTCTTGGCAGGTCACGTAAGGAAAATTTGGCAGGGGCTGCCCCATGCAGGAGCACTGCTGCAATGGAGGTGGGAGAGGCTGCTGCAGAGGTCACCATCCCACGCAGGCACTCTGCTGCCTCGCGCACGGACCACCTGAAACCAAGTGAAGTCTTACCACCGACTTCGGTGGTCTCAGAAGAAGGGCTCGGTGTTGCGCAGAAGGTATAAAGTAGATAAAGGAAAGAAGCTGCCTTTTTTCACTGGCGGAAAGTAGAGATCAACCCAAGTGGGCCATTCACTTGGAATAGTAATTCAAGCAATTATCACAAAAGTGATGCATTGTCTTCATTACAGCCTTAAGCTATAAAAGGCAAGGAACCTGTTTTGGTAGATGAATGATTTTGCTTCAAATACTGAAAGCTAAGTCAAGCTCAAAATTCAATCCAAATTGAGGTCCCATTTCTTCATTCTGTTGAAAACTACATAGAAATTTTCTGACATAAAGTGTTTAAAATTATGTTAACAGGTTTAAGAAATAGTTTTAAAAAGGGACAATACAGAAATATATAAGGTATTACAGAATTAGTATGTCCCACTGATGGATTTTTTTTCTCCAGTATTTTACTTGTACTTACTACAAAAAGCAAACAATTGTCACAACAACTTTGTTAAAATGAATTGAAATCAGGGTCCCAAAGTTAGAGAAAGATATGAATTTATAAAATTATAGCAGCGTTTTTGGAAGGCAGTGATAGTTATAGAAGCCTGTTTCTTTAAATATACATTAGCCAGAGGAAAAAAAAAACCCACAAAAAAACCCAACAACAACCCCCCCCCCCCCCCCCCACCAAAAC